CCATTGAAGAGACTGAATTCAGGAAGAAAACTTACCCATCTCACATATGGTTTGGCCTATAGCAAGGCAGAACTTAGTTAGGCAAGGAAAGCTAGGCTGAATGCTGGGAGAAAGAGGGCAGAGTCGGAGAGAAGCCATGGAGCCGCTGCCAGAGACAGACATGGTGAAACCTTGCCAATAGGCCACGAGCCTCATGGTAAAATATGAAACACTGGATAATGGGTTAGTTCTAGATGTAAGAGCTAGCTAGCAATACACTTAAGTGATTGGCCAAGCAGTGATTTAATTAATACTGTTTGTGTCTGATTATTTTGGGGCTGAGAAGCTGGGAACCAACAAGCAATCTCCCACAACATACAAACGTGGCGAAATACAAAACACATTTGTGATGAAACTCTCAACAAACAGGTAACATAAAGGAACTCCAAGCTGATAATAAAAATCTACAGAAAGAGCGTGGCTAAGGCCGCAGTGAATGATGAGAAACGGTAGCTCTCCTGCAGGCCGAGGCTAGGTTCAAAGCAAGAGCCTTCTCTTCACTGCTATTGGACAGAAACGCTGGAAGTTCTAGCCAATGCAACCGAGAGTCCTCCTCCAACTAATGAAAACTAAATACAATAAGTGAGCATAGAAAGGTGATGAGATTAACATTTGACCTGACCCAGCAGGAATAGGGACCCGAACGGCAAGGTGCCCAGTGGGCTCAGGGATGAGAAATAGAGAAGACAAAAGAAAAGCTGGGACCAAAGGCCCTGTGTAAACTGATGATTTATGCCAGGCACGTTGATTAAGTACGACATCTTATGCACTATTTGCAGGGGCAACCCAGAATGTCAGCACAACTAAGATGGTATTGGCAAAGAGAACACCCATCCCTCAGAGGCAGCTGCCTAAGCTCTGCTAACCACAGCCCAGTGGGAAACGTTGGGTCCCCAGGAGCCGCAGTAACCTTGACTCCCAGGAAGCACTGGCTCCAGCTTCACACCAGCCCTGCCAAGTCCATTCCTGGTAAAGACACAGAACTAAAGTAGCCTTTGTCCTTTCCCCGGGGCCTCTGAGAAAGTCTTGGATCAGTCTGCCTCCCCACCAACAGTAGCATATAAAGTAATTGGCTTCCTAATGCAGGTAATGGGCAAGTGGAATTTGAAATTAAAAACGTATTACTGAGTCGGTGTCATGGTTCACGGGGTAAAGGCACTTGCTGCTAAGGCTGGTGACCTGAATGTGGTTTCCAGGACCCACTTGGTGGAAGGAGAGAACTGACTCTTCCAAGTTACCCTCTGACCTCCACATACGCAATACCCACGCATGCCCTGCCCAGTATATGCAGATGTAATAAAAAGTATAAATCTATTACCATTTATATTCACACTTCCAAAATAAAATAGTAAGATACAGATTTGTAAAAAAAAAAAAAAAATTGCAAGATCCACATAGGGAAAGCTCCACATCTGAAATGAAAGCACTGGAGTAGGTTAGAGAGCTGGGTCAGCAGTAAAGGCCACCTGCTGCTGCTGTTGTCACAAACACTGTGACCAAAGGCAACTGAGGGGGGGTTACTCTGGCTTACAGGTTACAGTCTGTCATCAAGGGACGCCGAGGCAGGAACTCAAGGCAGAAGCTTGGAGCAAAGCCCCGGAGGAAACCTGCTCACCGGCTTGACCTGCTCACCAGCTAGCTCCCTCTGCCTTGCGCAGCAACTGCTCCTCATCCAGACCCACCCGCCCAGAGAGGGCACGAGCCACAGCGAATTGAGCCTTCTTAAAGAATTAGTAATGAAGCTGGGCAGTGGTGGTGCACACTTTTAATCCCAGCACTCAGGAGGCAAAGACAGGTGAGGTGGATCTCTGTGAGTTCGAGGCCAGCCTAGTCTACAAGAGCTATTTCCAGGACAGGCACCAAAGCTACAGAGAAACTTTGTCCAGAACCCAAGGCAGGAACCTGGAATCAGGGACAGAAGCAGAGGCCATGGAGGAACAGTACTTACCAGCTTGCTTCTTCTGGCTCGCCCAATTTTTCCTTATTCAGCCCAGCCCCTCTGCTCCTGCCTAGTGATGATATGGCCCGCAGGAGGCTGTGGTATGGCCCACAGGAGGCTGGATACTCTGGCATCAATTTGCAATCAAGAAAATGCCCCGCAGACATGCCCTCAGGCTGATCTGACAGAGGCAATTGCTCACTCAGCTGGAGTTGACAGCCAGGATTGGTCACCAGAGAGCCAATGTGAAAGTCTGGATGCTATAGTATTTGTGGAGTGTCAGGGCAGGAAGTGTGCGTGGAGTGTCAGGGCAGGAAGTATCCATGGAGTGTCAGGGCAGGAAGCATGTGTGGAGTGCCAGGGCAGGAAGTGTGTGTGGAGTGTCAGGATAGGAAGTGTGTGTGGAGTGCCAAGACAGGAAGTGTGTGTGGAGTGCCAGGACAGGAAGTGTCCGTGGAGTGTCAGGGCAGGAAGTGTCCGTGGAGTGTCAGGGCAGGAAGCGTGTGTAGAGTGCCAGGGCAGGAAGCATTTGTGGAGTGCCAGGACAGGAAGTGTGTGTGGAGTGTCAGGACAGGAAGTGTGTGTGGAGGGCCAAGACAGGAAGTATGTGTGGAGTGCCAGGGCAGGAAGCGTGCGTGGATTGCTGGGGCAGGAAGCATGCATGGGATCTGTGTTCCCCTGGCTCAGCTCTGCTGTGAATCTCAAACTACTATAAAATTAGTCTAGAAAAACCAGAAAAGCGGGGTGTAGTGATGCTCACAGCATTCCCAGCATCTGGGAGGTTGAGGAAAGGATTGAAAGTTTGAGGCCAGCCTGGGCTACATAGGCGAGCACTTTCTCAAACACAAAACCCAACTGAACAACAACAAAAATCCCAAAGCCCAAAAAAACCAACCAAGCAACTGACCCTAATTATACATTACTGTGAAGTGGGGGGGTGGTGCAGGACTCAAGGGGGACACAAGGTGGAGTGTTCACTGGAACAAGAGATTTATTAGAAGACTCACTAATTCCAAGGACAGATAGGTAGGCGACAGTTTGGCAGAGCTCAGAGGAGAGTTCTGGCCCATGAGGCAGGTAGGGGTCCTTCTTACAGGTCTTAGAGGAAGGGGGTTCATGTATCTAGACTGTCAGAGAAAGGAGGGTCACATAGCCAGACTGTTTCTGATTCTTGGGTAGCAAGAGGACCAGAGAGGATTTGGGAGTGGGAATATACAATTCCAAGGATGTAGGGGAAGTGGGATGGGGCAAGTCTAGTTGCACTGTGCCTCTTATATGACGGGGACAGGCCACCATGGGCAGTGTTCTGCTGTCCTGTATCGCCCAAGGTCTGGAGCATCCTTGAGGGAAGGGTGCATAGTGCCTGGAATCCAGGCATGGGGTGTCTGTAGCACACTCTAGCCAGGCTCTCAGTATAGTGTCCTAGCCCTCCTCATACAGCAGGGATTCCAGGATCAACTCTGAGGATGGAGGCAGGGAGAGCTACAGGTGAACATATCTTAATCAGACTTAATCAGTCTGGGATTTAATGGAGTCCGGTACCCACTGGGCCTGTTAGATTCCCAGCAGGTGCTCGGAAAGGAGATTGTTGGTTGCCGAGGGGGGAGAGCTAGTTGGGAGAACATCGCTGCAGGTGTGTGTGGCCTGGTCCGTAACCTAACAACCTTGCTCCCTCAAGCTCAATACTGCGCCAGGCAGTGGTGGTGCACACCTTTAATCCTAGCACTCAGGGAGGAGGATGACTGAGTTCGACACTCAGTCTACAGAGTGAGTTACAGGTGATTGTGGTGATCTGTGGGTGATGGGAACCGAACCCTAGGCCTGTGGAAGAGCAGTCAGTGCTCTCAACTACTGAGCCACCTCTCCAGTCCCTTGGTTTCCTGATCTTTTATGCATAAGTATTTACAGAAGGCCTTGAATGCTGTCTGGAGTTGGCTACAATGATGCAGTTAGTTGGGAGAGAGGACATTAAATGAGACAGGAGTCATGCTCTTTTTTTTTTTTTTTTGGCAGGGGGAATTGAAACAGGATTTCCTTGTGTGTAGCTCTGGCTGTCCTGGAACTCATTCTGTAGACCAGGCTGACCTCGAAATCACAGAGATCCACCTGCCTCTCAAATGCTGGGACTAAAGGTGTGTGCCACCACCAACCAGTTGTAGTTTTTTTGATATACCTATATATCACAAATTAGAAACGTTTAAGCTGGGCAGTGGTGGCACATGCCTTTAATCCCAGCACTCGTGAGGCAGGTGGATCTCTGTGAGTTCGAGGTCAGCCTAGTTTATAGAGCTAGTTCCAGGACAGGCTCCAAAGTTGCAGAGAAACCCTGCCTCGAAAAACCAAAAAAAAAAAAAGTTTAAAAGGAGTTATTTAGTGGGTAAGACTGGCCTTCTTGGCATTCAAAGAGGCCCAAGTGACTTAGAATAACAAGTGTGGGCAGATTGCAAGCCCTGGGCAACCAGCACACGCCATTGGCAAGGAACTAAAGCCTCAGTGTTCACCAGGGGGCGCCCGAGACCATGCTAATCAACTCCTTTTGCAATCCTTTTGAGACTTGTTGAATTTCAGAATTTTGCTCAAAAACTTGTGACATCACGACCATCACGACCTGGGGAATGCAGTCGACAACTTACAGGAAGACATGGGCTTTCCTTCTGTTTTTCTTTTTTGTTATGTGGAGAACCTTTGGCTTCTTTGCCAAGGTTTCTTTAGCTGAGGAGAGAGAGAGAGAGAGAGAGAGAGAGAGAGAGAGAGAGAGAGAGAGAGAGAGAGAGAGAGAGCGCACTTTTGTTGAGCTATTACATATTATATAATCCGTCTATTGAAAGGGTACACTTCAGTGTGTGTCTGTGTGTGTGTGTAAGTATGGACATGAATGCACTGTGTGGCCGTCAGAGGGTGTCCATCCTCACCTTCCACCATGTTTGAGACAGGGTCTGTGTAGAATTATCCCATGACCTCAAAGTTCTACGTCTAGGAATCTTCTCAACCCCTGGAAACTGCTGTGCCTCTGTCTGTGTAGGTTTGTCTATCCTGTGCATCTCAGAGCTGTGGCTGTGCACTGGAGGAGCCACCGAGGCTGTGCACTGGAGGACCCTCTGCGTCTATCTTTCTTCACTCTGCATTACATTTTGAAGGCTCGGCCAAGCACTGGGTGTCAGGATGGCATCCTTTTCCATGGGTGAGTAATATTCCACGTATGTATGGTCATTCATTCATTCGTTCAAGGATGTTAAGTTGTTTATCACTTTTAGTTATTTTGTATAGTACTGTCATAATACCTGTGCATGTTTTTACTTGACCTGTTTGATTTTCATGATTTAAACCTTTATTTCTTTACCTATTTAGTGTGTGTGTGTGTGTGTGTGTGTGTGTGGACACGGCACACGTGTAGAAGTCAGAGGACAACTTGCAGGAGTCAGTTCTCTCCTTCTACCACGTGGGTCTCAGGGACTGAACTCAGGTCCTCAGGCTTAGCAGAAAGCACCTTTACTTACTGAGCCGAGTTGCTGGCCCCTGACTTGCTAATTTAAAAAGGACAGTGTAAAGTTCTACAGGAACAAGAAAATCTCCCTTGGCCAGAGGTCGAATCAGAAGATTTATAACCCAAATCAGGAGTTTCCCTTCATTCTCTCATCTCAGTAAGAACCAGGCAAGAGGTGGATAGGAGACAAGAGAACACTTCTTTTAGGGTGTAGCTGATTCAGCTGGGACCAGGGGCCAGGAGCCTGGGGTTGCTGCCTGTTGAGGTGTAGTACAAACTCCCTTTCCCTCTGTGCATCCTGTGTTGCTCAGGTGGCACTGAGGGATTGTTTGTGGGTTCCCAGGAAAGATGAGGCCTTGGGTTGAAGTCTTCTTACTTCCTGCCCAGTTTCCTGAGACTGGTTACCTAATCCATGAGAACCTGTGTCTACCAACTGTTAATGGAAACCAGGGAGCAGAGAATGGCTTTCTGGATGAAATGCGATCCTGTGTTAAAGCGCTCTGGCTGGGTGAGGAGGATCTTCGACCTTGGATCTGTGGGAGTCTGAGGGTGCTGGAGAGCAGGTGGACCATGTGGCTCAGGGTCCTTGGCTTGGCTGTTTGGGTGGAAGGTGCTTGGGGCAGGGACAGAGAGGTGGTGAGGGGCGCTGCAGGGAAACAGGCCAAGAGGATGCAGGCTCAGGCAGGCAGAAGCCATCTGGAACCACACGTTCTCCCGTCTGGCCCAGATCGTGCCTGTAATCAGCCCGAGGAGGAGTGTTTGCATAGAGAAGCACTCTGGGAAGTGAGAGGATGCTCTTATCAGGGGGTTTTCTCTTAGGTCTTCCCATGTGGAGGTCACCGGTAATTTGCAGGGAGTTTTGCCGGGAAAAGGCAATAAAAGTGATGGAGAGACTGAAGGGCCTGCTGATGAGGCAAGAGGAGCGGACTTGGCCTCTGGGTTGCCTTGGAGGAGCTGGGGCCCTAAGCTGGCAGGTGTTAAGGGTCCCAGATGGAAGGAGGAGTTGAGAAGAGACTGGGGAGAGGATGGAAGGGTAACAAAGTAACTCTGTGGAAGGAAGCGTTAGGCCTCTGGGTTGTTTTGTAGGAGCTGGGGCCCTAAGCTGGCAGGTGTTAAGGGTCCCAGATGGAAGGAGGAGTTGAGAAGAGACTGGGGAGAGGATGGAAGGGTAACAAAGTAACTCTGTGGAAGGAAGCGTTAGGCCGACATTCATGATGACGCCTGGGCACAGAGCCCGCTCAGAAGAATAATGGCCTCTGGAGGGCTGGGGAGATGCTCTGGGGTTTGATACAGCTAACATTTGATAAGATCAAGGGCTTAGGGATTGTTCTATGGGGAGCGATGCCTCCTCTCCATCTCTGTTGATCCCAGTCACAGTGTCTCCTTCCCAAGCTTATTTGGAAGTGCTGACTGGGTTTGCAGCCCGGACCTTCGGGGCTGTGCATGGACCCTGGCCTGTTGGTGTGGGCCAGAGGTGAGCTCAGCAAGGCCAGCTGGGGGTGACCGTGGGCTGTGGCCTCTGAGCCAGCTTGATTACCAGGCATTTGGCCAGTTCTTCTGAGCTGGCCTCGCTTCCTCCATCCCTTCCCTCCCCGCTTCCTCTTGCCTTCCTTGTTTCTTCCTTCCTATCTACCCTCCTTCCCTCCTTCCCTCCTTCTCTTTCCCCTCCATTCTCCCTCTTATTTATTATTTAATCAAATTCTATTTGTGTGTGCATGCACTACTGTGTGTACGGAGGTCAGAGGGCAACTTGTGGGAGACCTTCCTTAAGTGGGTCCTTAGGGATGGAACTCAGGTCATCAGGCTTGGTGGCAAACGCCTTTATCTAATGAGCTATCTGGCTGGCCCCTCCTGATCTCTTTGGAATAATTCTTGCTATGCAGCCCACACTGGCCTAGAGTTCTCCGTTTTACTGTCTTAGTCTGCTGAGTGCTAGGGTCCCACGTGTGTGGCACCTGTGCTAGTTACAGTTGTATGGCACCTGTGTTAGCTACAAGTGTGTGGCACCTGTGTTAGCTACAAGTGTGTGGCACCTGTGTTACAGGTGTATGGCACCTGTGCTAGTCAGTTACAGGCGTATTGATGTGGGATTCAGCTCTGTATGCTGTGATTACCATTGATTAATAAAGAGCTGTCTTGGGCCTGTGTAGAGCAGAATAGAGGTAGGTGGGGAAAACGAAACTGCTGGGAGAAAGAAGGCAGAGTCAGAGAGAAGCCATGCAGCCCTGCTGGAGACAGATGTTGGGCAGAACTTTACCTGGTAAGCCACAGCCATGTGGCGATGCACAGATTAATGGAGATGCGTTAGTTTAGGATATGAGTTAGCCTGAAATATGCTTAAGCTATTGGCCAAACAGTATTGCAAATAATATGGTTTCTGTGTGATTATTTCAGGGCTGAGCAGCCCGGAACAAACAAGCAGGCTCCAGGCAGCCGGGAACGAACTAACATCCTTCCTACTACAGTGTGTGGCACCTGTGTTAGTTACTTCCTGTTGCTATGACAACACGCCACAGCCAGGCAACGTACAGAGGGGAGCTGCTTACTGGCTTGCCCTTCTTGGCTTGCTCAGCCTGCTTTCTTATAGAACGCAGGACCAGCAGCCCAGGGCTGGCCCCACCTACAATGGACTGGGTTCTCCCCCATCAATCGCTAATTGAGAAGATGCCCTGTGCAGGCTTGCCCATGGCTGATCTTATGGAGACAATTTCTCAACAGAAGTTCCCTCCTCTCCGATGATTTAGCTTGTGTCCAGATGACATAACACAGGCCAGCCCAACTCTGCACCCCACTGGGCCAGCTCCCTTACTTCTGGACTCCCCGGCTCAGGAGGTCAATTGCATGTAGCTATCAGACAGCTATGTGCCTCTTGTTCTTTGTTGGCTGTCACTAGGGAGCTGACTTCAAGAGCAGCAGTGGTGTTCTGGCTGTGGCGTTCAAGCTGGGGCTGTATATGTCAATTTGAGAGTTGTCACCACCAACCACGATGGTATAAATGCCCAGATGTGGGGTGATTCACAGAAGAGGAGAAGTCAGATGAAGACTCTCAGACTTGAGGTCCTGAGTTACTAATCCTAGGGTTTGAGAAACAGAAGGGACGGACCACACTGGAGGGAGCGAAGGTGATGGTGACCAGCGCTTATCAGGATCTCCCATACTGCAAACGCTGATGAGACGGTGTGTGTAGGGGCATGAGGACCCTCATCAGACTGGGCAGCCAGCATGGTGACGTTCTCTTTATAGAGACTTGGACAGAAGTGAGGAGGCCATCCAGACTTCATGAGGATCCTCAGAGGGTTCCCAGAACTGGAGACAGTCGATTTGGGTCTTAAAAACCAAACCATACTAAAAAAAAAAAAAAACAAGCCAGTGTTAAAAAGGGAGGAGGAAGAATGTTCTAGAAGAACTCATGAGAGAGACATAAATTGAGCATGGTGGGTGTTAAATGGGGTTCACGGTTTGGGGGAATGCCTGATTTGATTGACAGATCATGCTGAGAAGCGTCTGGATTTGAGCTTTGGGCTGTGGCCATAGTCAGGGGCCAGTCAACAATGCTTGTGGGCCACTGTCAGCCCATGTCTGGTTTTGGAGACCCTTGTAAGCTGAAGGTGAATTTTGTATCTTTTCTAATGACTGGGGAAAGTTGTTTTAAGGCTAATAATTCATGAATATGATATAAAATTCAAATTCAAATCGGTGATAACTTTCGGTGACAAGATGACTTGATTTAAAATCATTTGGGAAGGGGGTGAGGCGCAGTTCTGGGTGTGCGTGAGAGGGCACTTCCAGAAAGGATTACCTTGGGGGAAGATTGCCCGTGAATCTGAGTGGCGCTATGCAGCGACCTGGGAGCCTGCACCCTGCCGCTGAGAAAGGAGCCGGCTAGCTGAGCACTGATCCATTTCCCCTAACAGAGGCTGTGTGGCCTGACAAATGTCTACGTACTTATTGTGTGTGTGTGTGTGTGTGTGTACTTGTGCAGTCCTGAGTGTCAGATGTATGTAAGTGTGCATGCATCAGGTCCACGGAGGTGTTTAGTCTCTCTCTCCGCTATTTTTGGAGGTAGGGTAAGTCTTTGAACCCGACACTAGTTAATTTAGTGACTCTGGTTGACCAGAGCTTCATGGATCTTCCCGTGTCCACCTCCCTGGGATTATAGACGTACACACTTGCTTGCCTTTCTGTGTGGGTGTTGGGGGCCCCAACAAGGGCCTTGTACAACAAACACTTTACTCACTGGGCCAGCCCTCCAGCCCCCAGTGACATAAAATTTGAGATATTAGGGACCCTCTGGTGAATAAGACAGAAATTAGGGCCTTGAGAGAGCTGCTCTCCTGAAGTCACCTGTGTGTGAGGGAAGGAAAAGTCCCCTTTTGGAGTGTGACCCACTCCTGCTCTGAGAATTTCACCTGTTCCTCCCCTCATCACAGTTAACAGTCAGGAGTGAGTCCATGACCTCCAGAGGTCCCACACCCCAGCTGGAATGTTCTCTCTGGCCTGCTGTTTCCGACAGGGCCATCAGGTGCCCTTTCTGTGACCCGTGTCCCCTCGCTGGTACAATGAGTGCGCCCTTCACCTAGCGTCTGACTCATTGTTTTGTTTTTCTCTTCAGGAACAGGCTGTTCCCACAAGGACAGGTGTCAAACCTTGTCTGCTGGCTGGGGGAAGCCACCACACTGCTCTCAAGGGCCACACGTGGCTCTGGAAGCTGCTTCTGAAGGCCTGTGGACAGAGAGGGAGCGGTCCTGCTTGGGAGTCCACGACACACCTGGGACCCACGACGGTTAGGCTGACCTGAAGGCTTTCTGTTTGGGCCTGTGATCTCCTCAGCTGAGTGCTCTCTGGAACCAGGACACCTGTGCCACGTGGATGGTACTGGAAGTACACTCTGTCCTCTAGTGGCCTGACAAGCCACCAAGAGGGCGTGCCCTCAGCTAGAGCCCCTCCCCCATCAGCAGAGGCAGCAGGATTTGGAGCTTGTGCCCCACTAGTGGTCTCTTTGCACCCCAGCTTCCTGCAGGTTTGTAAGGCGTGGCAGTCATCACCCCTACCTCATAAAGTCCCGGAGAGAAGTCAATGGTTTCAGGTTATAATGTAAACAAAGGAGAGAGATTCTGCAAGGGCCCTGGCTCCCCTGCTCTCCGCTCCCAGGGTGTCCCATTCATGGGCTCCCTGGCATCTTGGTTGTCTCTCTTAGGAGACGGCAGTGCTGTAAATACCCATGACTGCATACCACTGAGCTCAACACCCGCTCCTAGTGGGCTCTGGATAAACATTGGGTAAAAGAATCAGTGAGTGAAACTCCTTCCCTGGCCAACAGGCTGTTTCCGGAAAAGGGAATCCCAGAGAAGCACCCTTCCCTGTTAATTCTCGATGATCCCCCAAAGTTGGAGGCTCACTTCCTGGACTGCTTCATCCTGGCCTTGGGTGTGACTGGGAGTCTGCAGGGTCTTAGAGCAAGGTTTCTGGGAGAACAGGGCGGTGTGAGGTGCAAGGGCTTCAAAAACCAGGAGGTGTCGGGGGGGGGGGGGGGGGGGTGCAGCTCTGGAGAACACGGGCTTCCAGAGTCAGGGCAGAAGCCACTGAGCCAGTGGTCTCGAAGTGCTGCTTTTGTTGGTGTTCTGGGAAAGAGCCGAGGGGTGGGACTCTGGGTGGAGTGTTAGGCAAACACTCTACCACAAGCCCTCTTCTGAAGAAAATTGCTAGGCATCTCATTAATTCATTCATTCATTCAACAAACACATACTGAGGTTCTGTGCATCAGGCATAGGCTTTGCCCCAAAGGATCCCAGTTTGGGGGCAGGGTCAGACTACAGAGGCAGACAGATAGTCACAAGCAACAGGCAGGTGAAGGCTGAGTCTGAATCACAGGTAGGGGGGTGAGGAGATCACAATCATGGCTTTCTGATGGAGGACAGGTGGGGTCCTAGGTCAAGAGGCTTATGGGAAAGGTAACGTCTAAATGGAGGGCAGAAGACTGGGAAGCACCTGGGATGGCCGGGCGGTGGTGGTGCACGCCTTTAATCCCAGCACTTGGGAGGCAGAGGCCGACAGATCTCTGTGAGTTTGAGGCCAGTTTGGTCTACAGAGTGATTTCCAGGTGTTGTTCCTTTTGGAAACTACAGCTCCCAGACTCCTCCTGGATTACGGATTCCTGCGCACGCGGGCGTGCAGGAGAGGCAGGTGCAGGTCATTTCTCCCAGATAACCTTGCGCTCCCCGTTAAAAAGCGAGCTTCCACGAGGTCTTGCTCTCTCTTGCCCTTTTTACCCTTGTGTATCTTGCACACCCGTCTTTAAAAGAATAATATTTTGGTATCGTGTCCCCCTCCCCCCATTAAAGTGCACCCACGTGGGAGCCGCGTGTCTTGTCTCCTCCTTTTGCGCATGTCTCGTCTATCCTGTGTTCATCTACACACCTCACCCGTCTTTAAAAGAATAATACCAGGACAGCTAGGACTGTTACACAGAGACAAACCCTGTCTCAACACCCCCCCCCAAAAAGAGAGAGAGAGAGAGAGAGAGAGAGAGAGAGAGAAGAGAAGAGAAGAGAAGAGAAGAGAAGAGAAGAGAAGAGAAGAGAAGAGCACTTGGGGGCAGTGGGGAGATGGGAAGAGCATTCTGGAAAGAGGAGACCAGGGTGAAGACCCAAAGGCTGGGAAGTGTGTGTGTGTGTGTGTGTGTGTGTGTAGAATTGGGCAGCTGGAGTGTTAAATGAAAGGCACAGGCTACAAGGCATGAAAGGGAGAAGTGAGGGAAGCCAGGCAAGGCTGTGGTTTAACTCAGTGGCCGAGCATTTACTTAGCATGTGCAAGACCAGTTTCCTCAACAAACTGAATGAAGGCCGTGTGTAGAATGAGTGGCAGGCTGTGTTCCTGCCGCTGCCTGGCTAGCTTATGCCCCGAAATAACAACACACAAACTGTATTCATATAAACACTGCCTGGCCCACTAGATCTAGCCTCTTCTTGGCTCTCATATCTTGCTTAACCCATTTCTAATAATCTGTGTAACACCACGAGGTGGTGTCTTACCGAGAAAGATTCAGCATGTCTGACCTGTGTCCATCTTGGGCTGGAGCTTCATTGCATCTGGCTCAGAGAGGAGAGGCATGGCGATTGCCTCACTTCCTCCCAGCATTCTGTTCTGTTTACTCTGCCTACCTAATTTTCTGTCCTATCAAGGGCCAAGGGAGTTTCTTTATTAACCAATGAAATAAACTCAAAACAGAAGACCCTCCCACATCAGCCGTGTTCTTCTTCTGATTTGCTTCGAGGCACGAACGGTCTTCATCGTCTTGCTCCGGGAATCCACTGGTCCTGAGGACCTCTGTGAGCTTGCTGAATTTCTTCTCCACGTTCTTTCCTGCTGTTACCGTAGCCTTCTGGGCTGCTTCTTCCACTAGCGAATCTGGGAATTGGAATCCTTCTGTTTCTCATAGTCTGGTACTGCAGGCCGACCTCATAAGCCACTTGCCCCAGATGAGCAAACTTTCTGATTAGGTTTTCAGCTGCCCAACCTTGAGGACAGCAGGGACTACATCCCACATATTCTTGTCACAGGTAGAGGGAGCCTATCCAACACTTTGGGGCGTTCCAGGGCAGTCTGGCCTTGTTTGGTCTTGCAGGCAGCATGCAGTGTGCACCAAGAAGTGCAGGGTCTGTAAGTGGTAGGAGCCCTGAGCAGGGTTGGTGCTCACCTGCTGTGGAGAAAGGCTAGGTACTTTGTTTGGTTGAAACCCTCGCAATGCACAACTTCTGGCCACAGCCCCAGAAGATAGCTTTGGCCATCCCGTGCTAGAACCTGCGCTCTACCATCTTTGTTAAAGGGGCTTGATGCTTTGTGTAATGCTAAGCAGGAAACTACAGCCACCTCTGCCTCTTACAACAACAGACGTGTGCTCCATCTAGCTTACACACAGAGGATGCTAGAAGCTTCTTAAGGCAAGCTGCCTAAGACTGCTTCTACTTCAGGCGGATCTGGATCTAGGTACCCACGTGGATAATAGTGAGTGTTCCTCTGGACTGGCGGATAAAGGTGACTGCTGCCAAACCTAACGACCCAAGTTTGAGCCCTAGAATCCACGTGGCAGGAGAGAACTGACTCCTACAAGTTGCCCTCTGACCTTCACACATGTACCATGGCACGGGCACACCCATGCATTCCCAAGTGTGTACACACACACACACACACACTGGGAGGCACCGCTTGCTGACTATAGGTGAAGCCCCGTGTTCTATCCCCAGCACCCCAGTAAGCTTGCTGATAATGGATCCAGACAGTGTCAGTCTCTGGGCCATTCAGGCGTGGCCCTGAGGTTGTTTTGGGCTGGGCTGGGTCACTACTTGTCTCCAATGACCATGCTGATTATTGACAAGACTTGGGGTGCGAGCTGCTCGTAGAGGCAAGGGTGGGGCAGCTGCGTGATTGGAACGGGCTGGTGAGGTTTTTCCCTAAAGTAAAACGGGTGCGCAATCAGAGAAGCATCGGGCACTAGCCGGCGACAGCAGGGCTGGCCAGGGAGACTACCTGATTCCATTTGTCTGAATCACACAGAAGAGACACTCCAGAGAGACTGTTGATAGTGATGGGGGTGGGGCAACTGCTCAGTGAGGATGGGGTATCCTTGGGGGTGATGATAATGTTTTGGGACTAGATTGGGTGATGGTTTACATAATGCTGCGAATTCTATCAAACACAACTGAATTGTTCACCCTGTGGGTTTTCTGTCTTTTTTGTTTTGGTGCTGAGCTCAAACCCAGGGTCTCACGAATATGAGACAAATCCTGCACTCCTGAGCCACACCCTCAGCCCCAGTGATTCACTTTAAGATGCTGAATTTTTTACTGAATCTCATCTCAATACAAAAGAGTCCATTTTCCCCCCTCGTCCCAGACATCTTGGGGTGTTCCATCTTCGGGGCCATTAGGGCTTGTGACCTTTTCCTTCTCTTATTGCTGCTTGGGACTCACGCTGGGTTTTAGCCAGAGGGGACAGGACACAGTGACGCTAGGCGTGGCACTGGCAAGGCGCTGCCTACTGTAGGGACACGGAAATGCCTGGCTGTTTTGTCCAGAGGCCGAGTCCTGCGCTTTCATGAGACCGGGTAAAGCGGAGACCCAGTGCGGTGCCAAGGACATCTTGTTCAGAGGAGAGGTGGCACTTTGGGCTTCCCCGGGGCCACTTGCAAGCAGTGGCACCTGTTTTTTTTCTGGCTTTGGGGCTGGGAGGGGCTGTCCCTACTCAGAGTCCACATTGCTCCAGCAGGCAGAGGACACTGGAAGTTCTTGTTTCTGCCCTCACTTGGCGCTAGGGGCGCTTGCTGAGGCCACCATGAGAAAGTCTGGCCACACTGGAACTTTGAAGGGAACAGAAGGTTTATCTCATTCTCTGAGCCTGTCCACATTCAGCACACTGCAGCCTGAGCAGAGCCCACAGCTGTCTGTGACTTCTGAAAGCACACCGGCACCTCCAGGAACGAGTGTTTCTCTTTCTTAGGTGATTCCCCGCACCCCCACCCCAGTGGCAGGACTCCTGACTCAGTGCTGGGCTCATTGGTGAGGACATGGACCAGTCCCTTTTGCTAAACTGTGCTCTTGGTGCCTGCTTCGAGCTGGAGGACAGCTGGTCTGTGGCTTCCCGTCTAGCGAGGCTTCTGGGATTCCTGGGCCTCCTGCACTAAGTCACCGGGACCTATTCCGCAATACAGAGCTGTGGGCGCCGTGGCTCGGCATCTCCCTGTGGCATTACACACTCTGTTTGAGGATTTGTCTCCAAACTGAAGCGAGGAAAGACTGGGGCTCGGCGGCATGCCTAGCTCCTGACTGCCGAGGTCTCCTTCACTTTCAGCTCTGCCAGGGCTTACATGGTAGAAATCCTCCCTGGTGTTGAGTCTGAGAGAGACAGTATGGGACAGAGTCCTGTCCAGAAGGACTGACTTCAAGTCCTGAACCCACTACTTACAGCTGAAGGACCCTGGAAGAGACACTTCCCTTCAGGGACCCCTAGTATCCTTGGATGTAAAATGGCACTGAAATTCCTAAGTGAAGTTGTCCCATCTTCCCCCAGTCCAAGATCACTCAGAGCTCAGAATGTGATAGGGGAAGGAGCTGGGCCTGCTTCAGGCTCTTCTCTGGTGCGTGAGATATCAGCAGGCTGGGTCTAGCCTTGGATAAATCCATTTTATAAGCAACAGCCTTGACCTAAGCTACAATACTTTGAGTATAAGTACCAAAAAAAAAAAAGTCTCCACATTTTAATACTAGTAAACAACCACCAACTATCAGCTTCCAGCACCAGGAGGCATGGATTGGTGATTATTTATGCCCATAAACAGTAACACCTGAGCATACACCTAAACGTATCAGAAACCCTAAACACGGGAGCTTTTCACTCAGGCTGAACGGAAGCCCTCACCTGAGACTGTAACAGGAACATACACCAAGACAGAGGTGCAGGCTTGCTGGCTTGTCACTGGTCAGTTGTCTTGAGCCGTGTCCTCGAATGCTGCTGCGGCAAAGGACTCCCGCCCGTCCGTGCTTCTGTCTCCAGCTCAAATTCAG